TTAAAACAAAATGGCCGCCAGTCGGCCATTTTGAATCTTATCTGAAAAACATATATACCATCTGTAAACAGCCGAGAAATGTTTGATTTTGATGATTTTTAGAACAAAAATGGCCGCCATTCAGTCATCTTGAATCAGATCGTGAAACAAATTGATGTGCATATGTATAATATCATGTATGATGTATGTGTGAAATATGATTGTGATTGGTCCAGGCATTACTAAGGTCCGGACGCACACACGACCGCACGGAGGTCAAAACACAAGTCCCCAATTTCAGACTGCGTTCAACCTGAAGAATTGACAAGTATGAACAGGATCTCAAGATTGAAACAATACTTCCTTGCAGCAGTAAGGTGAGATAAATATTTATATTTACAAAGTTATGGAGCTCTCAGTTTGTTAGCATATGTGATCAAGGCCATACACAATCGACATCTGATACACAGTAACAATTAATCTTCCTATGGTACAGGACAACAACTGGACAGCAGCTGACATTTATAACAAACAGTGCTATCCAGAGTTATTGGGAAACCAGAATTGTAATTGCGTATTACAGCGTATGACATGCTGGGCTGGCGTGGCTTGTTAACTTGTATATACATGCATATCTGGTAGCGTTGCTTATGTGTGGTTTTCGAATACAAACAACATTCAGCACCATCAATTTGATTGCCAAACCTCATTGACGGTGCTGAACACCATTGGTTGTGGAATACGGAATGCGCACTGCATACACAATATGCTAATAACCTTTAATGACATAGACATACATGTATCTCATGAATAATATTTGAAAGCGGAATTATTAATAGAAAGCATATACCAGTAATATGGAACGCAAGAATCACGTATATTCGGTCTTGGTCCCCACTCTTTCTATTGTGGTTATTTGAAGACTGTAAACGCTTTCTATCATTCTACACTGGTCACCAAATTTAACAACTGTTTCTGCATTTTACACTCAAATCTACATGAGGTAATTTCATTACTCAAGTCAAGAAAACTACAAAGCTGATTTATTGATTTTAGGGTTGAGAAGCCAATCATAGGCAATGCTGAAGTATTTGAGTTACGAACATTGAGTTACGCATTGCAGAAATGCCCACGCCCATATTTCAGAAACCAAATTGTGACTCAATGTTCAATTAACAGTTAAGAGAACTTCAAGTTATGGATAACCTATAATTTTGTTTTTGTTGATGTCCACATTCAGTGACTTGAACTTTTAATAACAGCTAACCAAACTTTGAGTTACGGGCAACATAGATCTTTTGTTTCGTTTAACGTTGTATATTTTCTGTAATTCAAAGTTAGGTTAAGTGATATTTAAAACTCCAGTTACTAAATTTTAACATCAAACAAACAAACAAAATATATGTTGTCTTTAACTTGAAATTCAAGTTTATTTACATCTTTCTAGCCAGAACATGGAAACTACTGTAACCTGAGAAATTGCAAAAAATTTTCTTCGTAAAATTAAACTTTTAAAGGCTTCACACTTGTATTAAATATCTGTTTTAGGCTCTTTCTTTCAAAAACATTGACATCCAATTTGGTCAAATGTTGTTAGCAGATTAATTCAATCGTGACGGATAGTTTAACTAATTGGAAAAATAAGATTATGTTGCTTTTGTTTTTTTTAAGAGTTAAACCCTGGAGGTGTTCGTTTTTTATATTGGAGAAGAGTCCAGAATGTTGCCGGCATATCAAAACTGTATGTTGCAATTATTATACATGTAGTATCATCTCACGCCAACTGAAAGTTTATTTATTCTGTGATGTTCAGTAGGAGGCGGCCAAAGGCCAAAGGTTAGGAATACATGTAGGTCATGTGATGTAGCTATTTATCATGACCATTTTGAAAAAAATACTAACAAATTTGTTCTACCAAAGCTTACATAATCCAAGACAATCCAATACATTGAAACATGTATTTATATTCTTTCATTTTCAAATTCAAACAACTGTAGTGGTAACAATTCACATACTAATTTGCATAACATTTGAATATTATTTGCATAATTATTACAAACAGAAATTGGAAAGATTAATATGGCCATTAAAACACTCAATTACACAATTATTGAATTAAAGAACGATAGGAATTAAATAAATTTAGCAAAGAGCATTTTAGTAAAAATATGCCACTGCAGTAGTAATGGTAGGGGTAAGGATGGCGGTAAAACAAAGCACTGTTGCACTCTTGGGATGAGGGCTGCATTCTCTATGTTCATGGTTGTCAACAATGTTGAGCCAATCAGATTACCCCTTTGATGTTAAATTTTATTAGTGGAATTACAGAGTTATGTAAATGTTTTTAAGAGATGAAAGTAAATGTTGGTTAAATCTCTGAAGTATACTGTAGAATACTTCATTTTCACTTGGAATATATTTTCGCTGAAGGCATGATTCTGTGAAAATAAAATCTAGCGAATATACTTTTTTTCCTATATTTTACATTAAACTCATCAAAAATCAGTGAAAATAAACTCCAAGCAAAACGCCCAAAAAGCCTTTTCAGTGAAAATTAATTCCAGCGAAAATAAAGTATTCCACAGTAATTATAATTACAAGAACAGGATGAGAGGGCTTGAAAGTGAAATATTCTATACTAGACTGGTAAAATTTTAAGAAGTCGATGGTGGTCTTCTGGGATAAGTTATTTTTTTAAGTACAAACTTTACTTTGTAATTATAACAGCCACCAGTGTTTGACATTCATTGGATGTCGCTATTGACAGCTGCACACTTCTTTTTTGTGCCAGTTTGACCTCTGGGGCATTTTATGTATGGAGACACCCAATCAGAGGTGACATTCATATTCAACCACCACTAGCGATAAGATAACATTGTTCATAATCAGGGAGTGATTTGTTTACAAGATACTGTAAAGGGGGTAATTATTCACTGGGTTTTAATTTAGCTTATTTCGCTGACTGGAAAAATGCGCTAAATTAAAACACAGTGAATATGTAAAATTTAGCATAGAACACATTATCTAAATGACAAAACCGTGAATTTAAAACCCACTGAATATGCCTGAGATGGTAAATCAGTGAAATTTAAACCCAGTGAAAATTAGTCATTTTACAGTATATAAATACTTACACTTGTCTTACAAACGAGGAAAAAGAATCTAAACTACAGAGAAGGAATTTAAACAGACAGTAAAATTTACTGTTCAGATTGTGTCACTGAGTGAAAGAGGAATTTTATTCACAAATGCTATTCAAGTGATTTATCCGATATGTGACTTTTATGGGGTATCCACAAAATTCTTTACAAAGCACTGGTCAGGTTACTACTCAACTCTCAATACTACCGGGTATAATGTTTTATAGGGGAACCTTCCAAGCCCAGGGATTGTACCAAAGAATCATGGGACACTATTGTTTATGATGTTTACAAAGTTAATCTATCTTTTGTTATCTATTGTAATTTTAAACCAAAAAGTAAATTTGTTGTGAGATTAGGCTTAACTGGAAGTGCTTTTAAGTGTTAGTTTTTATAATGAAAAAAGAAAAGCAAGAATTATATGAAACATTTTCTATATTACATCTCAATGTAAATTTTCCTAATTTATTATTAAATTTTGGTAACAAATGTTAATTTACTACTTTTACGAATGACAGCAAGAACATTTGATAACTGGAAATGTGAATTTGGAAAGAATAAAAACGATTTTTAATCTCCTAGTGGCATATTTCACAACTCGTCAACATATTGCTTTTACACATACTATAAATGCATTAATTATTAACTGGGTTTTAATTTTGCTATTTCCCTGATAAGTAAACTGGTGATTTTAATCACAGTAAAACTCATTGTTTTGCTGCCAGATTCATGAATTTCAAACACATATAATATGCTCAAAATAATGAAATTAAATGCAATATTTTTTGATCATTTATGTTGTCTTTCTGATTTTTTAGCGCGTTTTTTTTTTTTTTTTTATTATAAGAGCAAGGCACTACCACTACCAGGAGTCAAACATTCCCAGTCACACCACATGCAGACCCTATAACAAAAAGTTGTACACATAAAAGAATCAATATTGGCCAGGGGCCTAGTCATTTCAATTGAGTTGTGGCATACACTCATACCCAGGGGTCAACCCTGTTATTTTTTTGGTGTACAACCCCAGGTTGGATTTTAACTTTGAACACACCGATCACAAGTCTGGCACAACAACCTCCACACACCTGGTAATATGGTGTGAATATTTTAGTTTTATAGCATACTTTGCAACTTGAAAGAATGCATTTATGTGCAAGAAAAAATAAAGCAATAATTAATGAGTGATATTTAATAATCAATTAAGTATTTTCAACGTGCATCCCAGCAACTTAAGTCGAAACACTAGGAAGTGTGCCTGTTCTTGAATCAAGAAATACAATGTAATATTTTATTTATAAACACAGACGACGGAAGTTCAAGTTCGTTCAATGACCTACATACTGTCCCACCATCCAGTCAACGGTTCGTCCACTTCGGTGTCACCGCCAAGTTCGTACGGTAGATTTATCTACATTGGCAGCGTGCCGATAATAACCAAAATTCCACGCCATTCACATGGGTATCTATTCCATTACTACATTACATTACTACGTGACAAGCATTGAACTAAGCCGCCACGATAGGTGTACTTAAAAAACACCCGTCGTCGGAACGGGCCAAGACATCGACAGTGACATGCAGGTCACACCGCCCGAGCATCGACCAAACGTATACAGTGTATCACAATATAGCCTACACGTTTAATATTCTGAATATATAGTAAACTGCGACATAATCAACAGCTATAAAATGTTTTATGAGACTTAAACAACATCATCTCCCTGTCCAAGCAGAGGCAACCGCCGCCATGTTGGATAACTCTGCGGCGGATGCCCAACTCTAGTCACGGTCATTCAGTGGTTTTACTGATGTCCTCTTTCTACAAACCATGTCCAATCTGAAAAATCGAATCAACTCAATCATATACAGCTTACTTACCATTAACGACTGTAAAACCATAAGCCACTGAAACGAGGAAAACAAGAAGTCTTGGATCCATTTTAAACATCGTTTACTGACTTTATAGGTCACACCATATTTTTCTCGACAGTGCACTTCACTGTTTGTTATTTGCTGGCGCTGCACACCTTATCTCATAAATGGCTATCCTTCCGCCGACCTCTCACATTTACGACGTGCGGCGTGATCTCGGTAAATGGAGTCCGTGGAGTATTTTCCATGTTTACAGAATAAATGAGTATCATGTATTGACTGAGGAGCGATGGACATCAAGTAAGTCTAATCACAGGGAGCCCAGGAACTATAATCAACTGTAATACGCAGTCTCTATGAGCGGGGGGGGGGGGGGGG